TCAAGGTAATGCAGCTGGGAAGTGGCTCCCTCCTTCTTCCTTCACTCAAAATGTTTCTCAGTGCCCCAACTCTCAGACAGAAACATGTGGTGTGGAAGGTGCATCAGGCACCTGCAACAGGGCTGCCTGGTCCTCCGAGTCATCTCCTGGGCCCCAAAGCTCACATTACTAAGCTGACATCCCTGTCATCCCTGGAAAAGTCTCAAAAGAGGAAAGTGAATGGGGCTTTTCTTGCCATTCAGCCAGGACCATCTCAGTCCCCAAAGGCCAAGGTCCCAGCTCAGTGACAGATGCCAGCTGATGAGTCAAGAGCAGAGATTACAAGTAACGGTGTTATTCGGGGAAGCTTAAAAAGGAAGGCTTTGTAAGATTAGAGACCACTCAGGAGGTCTCAATGAGCATGAGCTAACTAAGAATGTGTGCTAGGAAGTTGGTTTCTTCAGTTCCTCCAAGTACTTCCATTTAGTGAGTCTTCCAACCTCACTATGTGAATGGGAACAGACTGGGCATGATGGCACACACCTGTCATTCTAGCATCAGGGAGGCTGAGGCAGTCAGGATTGGAAGTTTGGGTAGCCTGGCCAACTTAAGTTACTGAGTGGGAGCCTGTCTCAAAACAAAAAATAAAACAGGGTTAGGGATGGAACTTGGCTTAGTGCAGAGGCCCTGGGTTCAATCCCCAGGGCCACAGAAAAATGAATGAATAAAATAAAGTTTTAAAATGAGAGCAGAATTAATGGCAACATTGGCAGGCTGGTGGGCCTCAAATGCCAACAACCTGCTTGGCAAAAGAAGCCCCCTCTGTGGTCACACACGTGCCATCCCTCCACATTCGGGTTACCCAGACCAAGGTAACACGCTCTCTTTCCTGTCAGAGCCACTGTGGGACTCACCAGCAGTGATGTGTGTGATACAAGTGCTGCCAGTGTGGCCATGAGCACTTGTAGAGACCTGGCAAGAACAGGTGAACTGCGAGTCACTCCCCAGCCCACTCTACACTGGCAGCAGCTGCCTGCCCATTAGTAGAGACTGGGTAATCAGACTCTACCCATTTGACATACAACCCTGAAAAGGACAGCTAAGAAGTCCTTCTCCACTAGTATCCTGCAGCTCAGGGCAAGATCCGGTCCCCAGCAACCCAGCCCCAGCCCAGCCCAGCACAGACTGAAATGACCAAGGATCCTTAGAGCTCAGGATCCTCAAGGCCACAGCCCAGCCTGCCAGGCCACACACCCCACACACACTTACACCACTCACGTGTATGCCTGCCTGAAGAGCCTACATCTAAAGACAGCAGTCCAAAAGAATCGTTTCTCTGTAACACAGAGATAGGCCAAAAGAACTACTTTTCTGCACTGTAACTGCAGTGATGGGCTATAACGGGGAAATAAAACACTCAGAATTAAAAGTGTGGTTACTGGCAGTACACGTTTATCCACTGGCAAAGTGCACCTGGCTGTGCCCTCCCCATCCATGTGGAAGCCAGCCAAGGAGCTCTGCTGGAAGGGACAGGAAGGGATGAGAAGGGACAGGAAAGGACAGGAAGGGAACAGCGGTGGAGGCCAGCAGCACAGGTCACCAAGGCCCTGCCTTGCCCACTCACTGTCACCTGCTGGACAGCTGGGGGACACAGACTCTCATACATTCATTTCTGGAATCAGAAAACGAGTACTCATAGTTGGAACTGGATAATTCAGGCAGATGTACAGAAACCCTCCTTCAGATGCAGAAATAGTACAAGTCTTTTACACTAATAAGTGAACATGGTTTGTTAGAAGATCTAAAAATTGCCTACTTGTTTGTCTTTTTTTTTAATTATTTAGGTTTTTTATTTATTAATGTATTTCAGGGATCCAGAACATCTTTACACAGTTCCACAATGAAGTGATCAGCTCCAGGCAAAGAAACTATAACCCTACCCCATCTCTTATTTTTTTGTTTTGTTGAGACAGGATCTCACTATATAGCCAGGCTGGCCTGAAACACATGGAGAGCCTCCTGCCTCAGTTTCCCAAGTGTTGAGGTTATAGGCACGTGCCACTACACCTAGCCATTAGTTACCATTTGTGCAAGCAGTAACAGTATCTAAAATCTACTAACTTAACAAAACCCTAGCACACGATATGATATTCACTACAACCCTCAGGACTTAAGAGATTGCATCTCTAAATGTATTTATCTGAGATAACTGCATATTTGTATGCTTCAACCTAAACAAGCAAAAACAGGGTAATCATTGAAAGAAGGCTGCAGATACCAAGTGTGGAAGGCGTCACTCTACCATTTCCAGAAAAAAAACATTGAGAATGAAAAGGTCTGATTAAAATTTTTCTTGATAGAGTTAAAGCAGAATAATACATTAAAAAAATATAATAATGATCAAATAAAGCCAGAGGAAAGAGCCAGAGACAGGGAAAAAACCTGGAAAAAAAAGCACCCTGGGGAACAGGGCAGCGAGGGCAGTCTGGGCCCAGAAGCCCTCAAGGAGAGAGCGAGGCCAAGGCCACTGCAAGGGGACCCTGGCTGGCCTCTACCTCTTGGTAATCCCTCCTGCCTCAGCCTCCCAAGCACTGAGAGTACAGATGTGTGCCACTACACAGGTTCATTTGCAATGATTTTAATGTTAATATTAATTCCAAGAACTTAAGTAGCCACCTCTGAAGTCTAGCACTTCTCAGGCTCCCCAATTCTATATCAGTGCAAAGTGTCAGCAGCATAAGAGAAAGCTTCTGTTCCCCTTAAAAACGTAGCTCTGCAACCATCCTCACCGGAGGCAAGATAGCCTCTTTTAATAAATGGTGTTGGAAAAACTGGATTTCAACTTGCCAAAAATTAAAACTAGACCCTTATCTTTCACCATGCACTAAACTAAAATCCAAGTGGATTAAAGATCTAAATATTTTTTAAAAGTCACTAAATTTACTGGAAGATAAGTTAGGCAGAACTCTTGAAGACACAGGCATAGGAAAAGACTTTATGAACAAATCCTCAGTAGCATGGGAACTAGCAGAAAGAATCAACAACTGGGATCTCATCTTATTAAAAAGCCTCTGCACTGCAAAAGACACCATCAACAGAACTAAAAGACAACCTACAATGTGGGAAAAATTTTTTACCAGCTGCTCCTCAGACAAAGGACTACTATCTTCAATATATAAAGAACTCAAAACAACCAGCCCCCTGAAATATAAAGACCCAATTCAAAAATGGGCATCTGAAATGAACAAACATTTCTCAGACAAAGAAGTAAAAGCATCAAGTAAATATATGAAAAAATGCTCATCACTGGTCATTTGAGAGATGCAGATGAAAACAACACTGAGATTCCACCTCAGCCCACAAAGAATGGCTGTTATCAAGAAATCACACAATAACAAATGTTGGCGGGGTTGCGGGGAGAAAGGAACCCTTCTTCATTGTTGGTGGGAGTGCAGACTGGTGCAACCACTATGGAAGTCAATATGGAGATACCTCAGAGAGCTAGGATTAGAGGTTCCATTTGATCCAGCCATCCTTCTGCTGGGTATCTTTCCAAAAAAATTAAAAGAATCATACCACAGTGATATATGCACACCCATGTTTATAGCAGCACAGTTTGTAATAGCTAAAATTTGGAAACAGCCCAATTGCCCATCATTTGGGAGACTGGATAAAGAAGATGTGGTTTTTCTATAAAATGGAATACTACTCAGCCATAAAGAATGAGAAATTAGGGGCCCGGGATTTAGCTCAGTGGTTCAGTGGCCTGCCTTGCAAGCGCAAGGATCCGAGTTCAATCCCTGGTACCAAAAAAAAAAAAAAAAAAAAAAAAGAATGAGAAATTAGAGTCATACATAGGAAAATGGATGCACATTAAGGATATACTCCTAAGTAAAATAAGTAAGTCACACATGAGTAAATACTGAATAGTTTCTCTGGTGTGAAAAACTATAATTGTACATAAGATCCTAATGGTATAATTGACAATGTGAAATAGGAAGAAAAGGGCTAAAGGTGTAGAGAAAGTGGGAAGGATAAGGGAAAGCTAATAAGAGAAAATAAAAAATGAGAAAATAAAAAAATGGAAATGAAGTGTTTGTAAAGGGGGAAGAGAGGAAGGGTGAAGAGAGGGCAGGGATAAGGGGAAAAAATGAGAACCAGGACCTGTCATGTAAAGGTACAAGATCCCAAAGATGACTGTAATTGTACTGTATCCCTAAAATGTACCAATAAACTCAATTAAAGCTGAAAAAAAAAAAAGTGGCTCTGTGCCATCACCCCACCAGAAGGGTCCAGCGTGCATTCCACACGGTTCATTGTATAGCACCCCAGCCAGGGAGCACAAACAAGAACTGCTCCCTCGGTGCTGGCTCCCCTGCCTGCCAGCCCACGAGTCTCTACCAAGTGTACTGTGATTAAAGCCCTTGAAAGTGTGTCATGCATGCTGAGACCACACAGGCTGCAAGGACACACAACACATCTCCTTTCTGTTTTAATCACATTTTTTGCTGAAAGCGCACAGAGTTAGCCATAAATCCAGGTCGGACAGGACTTTAGAAACGGGAAGATCCAAGCCAGGGATTTAGTTCAGTGGTTCTGCTGCCTGCCTTGCAAGCGCAAGGTGCTGAGTTCAATCCCTGGTACCAAAAAAGAGAGAGAGAGAAAGAGAGAGAGAGAGAGAAACAGGAGGATCCACAAAGATCCTTGGGCGGAGCATCCACACCTGGGACAAAAGCCCTCCCTCCAGGTAACCATTCTTCCTGCATGGCAGAGCCCTCCAGGATCATTGCTCTGCTGCCACCCAGTGGTAGGTGGGCACATGGCACCTGGCACAGGACCAGGCTCTGCCAGGTCATTTTCTCCAGCCACAGGCCCAGGAAGATGTACATTCTCAAGAGGAGAGGTATTACAATAAATACCAAGCCGCAGTGATGAAGTATTTCCTGCATTACCAACTGAGGACTAAACCAAAGCCAAAACGTGCTACCAGAACCCAGGAGACGGCTGAGGCCTTGACTTACCTGCTTAGGGTCAGAGGTGGCAGCGCCAGGAGCTGGGGACTCTAGCTCTATGGTCACAGGCCCATCGTTCTGAATATGCACCTGCATGTAGGCACCGAATTTACCATCTGAAAGAACAATGAACAGCATTACAGAGCTGGAGACCCAGGGGCTCTGTCCAAAAAGCATTGAAAGACTCAAAAAACCTGGGAGAACCCCAAAGGGGAAAACAGCCCGGATGCTTCTGCGTCTCCAAGGTGCCTTCTAACACTGCAGGGGATAGGTGATAGGATGTGAGGTGAAAGGAAGGCGAACCACAGGTCCAATGTGTCAGCATCAGGCCCTGGACATCCCCATCCCATCCAAGAGAACCAGCCGACTCTCCTGCCGGACTCAGGCCAGCCTCACAGGCAACTCCCCAACACAAAGGGACCTCTGTGAGCCTCTGTCCCCACCACCACCCTACAGCTGCCACCTCTGATTCTTCACTGCCCAGCAAAGAATCTCAGAATCTGGCTTAATCTCAGAAGGACTTAGACAAAGGAACACACCAACTGCTGGTTCTCTTTGGCCCAAGGACAGGATGTGGCCCTGGAAATTGTACCCGAAGTGCCCAAGCTGCTGCCATTTTTATAGGCAAGATAACTCTAATTCCCACCAGGGAGCAAATGTGCCCAGAGGATGGTGACTTTCAGCGAGCTCCTGTCAGACTGAAGTGGCCGTTCACATCCAAAGCTTTTGTTTGATCTGTGTCAGACTAGCTAAAAAGACATCAGCTGCAAAGGAAATCATGTGTTTAATTGCGTGCTAAAATTACAGCTACAATTAGCAAATTTCAGCACTGCACTCCTCAGGAGGCTGAAGGCAGGCTCAGGAGGAAAGGAATTATTTCCGACCTTGAGTTTCTGTTGCCAGGATATACAGCATAGGCTACAGCCTGTTTATCATTTCAAGTTGCAAGAATTTATTTTCTTTTCCTGTTTTCCTTCAATTAAGAACTGAACTATTATCTGAATTTCCATTTGTACCCACAATAAATCCAAAGACATGTTTTAAGAGGTCTTAAAATGGTAACTTTTTTTTCCAGTGCATATCAAAGTTCCCAATAAAAATTATACTGGCCAGGGAAAACAAAGTTTAAAAAAAAAAAAAATAAATAAAAAATAAAGACAAAAACCTATCTACAAATTTACATCTGGGCTCCTATGGTAATAAAATCAAGTTGTACTTAATCCAGTCTCAGGGTTCTTCTGCCAAATGACAGGGTGAGTGCAGTCACAACTGTGCTATAGGCAGGATCCTCTGCCGGTACCCACAAGATGGGAACCAGGCATCCCCAGCGGCTGCCCAGGTCCCTGGCCAGAGGCCAAGCCCGGCCCTTTAGGACTCACCATTTACCTGACAAGGCTGGTGTCCGTACCCCTCTGGACAGTACCAGACTGCCCGCCTCTTTGTGGTCCTGAGAGGTGATGGGGGTGCACGTGAGTGACCATCATCACGCCTACTGCTGTCTATGGCAGCACATGGGCAAACCAGGGGAGGCCCAGGAAATGACACCACCCAGAAGCAAGCTGCTGGGGAAAACAGGCACAAGGAAAGGAACACAGCACTGTTTCTTAGACTCTGCTCTCCAGAGCGTGGCTGTGACCTGTTGGGGCTCATTCACCCCTGGGGTGATGGAAGGGACATCAGTTCTGGGCTCAGAGCTTCAGGGTGGGTTATCACACTGCAAAATCTGATTTCAGACTTCAATTCCTAGAGACTTGAATGCAATACAGAATTGAACCATGGCCTGTTTCTCCCTGGGGACACAATAACAGGAGATTCAGAGTGCAACCCAGCGGCTGGCATTTGTGTTAGAGCGCTGTTAAGACTGTCGCTTGTCCTCACTGCACAGCCCCATGCATGGGCAACAGCCCAGAGAACCAGTCTCCAGCTCCAGAGCAGAGCAGAGCAGACTTGAGGGCTTCCCAACAGGGCTCTAACCAGGTCACAGCTTCGGGGAAGAGAGGACATACAGCAGGGGAAGCCACAGCCAGAGAGAAGCTTGGAACCACTCGCCATCCACTCTTGTGCCCTGCAGGTAGAAAGCCACAGTCTTCAGAGAGCCACGCATTCCTCCAAGACTGTGCACACATGCATGCACACAGGTACACACACGTCGTTGTTCTTGTCATAGTAGAAAAGTGAGATACGGTGATTCCTCACACTTTCCCAAATTCATGTGTTCCCTGAAGCATTTATACTGGGGCGGACACAGCTCCTTCAGGCTCCTATGCTGGGCAGTGACCTGAGGGAGACCCCAATGGAGGTGGGAAGGGGCTGTCACAGCCACTGAGAGGAGGAGGTATGATGACAGTTTGGGCTGGGCAGCTACAGCAAAAGTGCCACCATCCTGTCCCCAGTTCCATGACAGAATTTGCCGAAGGACCAGAGACGGGGAAGGGGAAATCAAAAAATTATAAAGCACTGACTGGCAAGTTCACTTGTTAAAAATAAAACAACACCACTAATGAAATAAAGAACCAGGAAAAGAAGCCCCATGATAAAAAGTGAAGATAATGCAATGAAAAGTAGACTAAAGCAAAACAATGAAATGACAGATGCAGGAATGACCAGCCCCGAAAGTAACTTCAAGTCAGTTTGCTGAAAAAGCACTAAGGAGAAAAGAGGGGACTACATCTAAACCTCGGTGAGAAAAGGCTACGACTCTAGACAGGTAGGTCTAAGACACTAAAAATAATTTGTAAAATTATCTGCCAGTAAATTTAAAAATCCAGACAGGAAGATTACAGGCAATGTTAGCTGCCCAGCAGGCCCAACAGGTGCTGGGAAACTGACCACAGCCAAGCAGGTCAGGCCCACAGAATTTTACTAACAACTTTTATTAAAACAAATAATTATATGTCATTTAAATTAGTCCAGACCATAGAAAAAAATCAAAAGCTTTCTGATTTTTCTGCAAGGCCAGTATTACCCTAATACTAACTAACAATGGACATGAATAATAAAAAAAAGTAAGCACAGGCCAAATTCTCCTTTGAATATAAATGCAAAACTCTACATGGACACTTGGTAACTCTCACAGGCAAAAGGGACCAGAGGTTTAATCAGCATGGCTCACAATTAGGAAATGTGTTCAGTGACTTAACACTTACAGAAAAGGATATTGGGGAAAAAATTACCTTCCCTACCTGTATCAAAATGAAATTCTAAGCCCAGCATGCTGGCACATACCTGTAATCTCAGCACTCAGGAAGCTGAGGCAGGAGGATTGCCAAGAGTTCAAGGCCAGCCTGGGCTATAGAGTGAGACCTGGTATCAAAAAAAGAAATTCTAACTTGGTAAGCAAGGGTAACCCACTTCTTTAACTTTAAAAAGGTCACACAGGCCAGGCGTGGTGGCGCACACCTGTAATCCCAGCACTGGGAGGCTGAGGCAGGAGGATCACTGTGAGTTCAAGACCAGCTTGGGCTACATAGTGAGTTCCAGGTCAGTCTCAACTACATAGTGAGACCCTGTCTCAAAAAAAAAAAAAAGAAAATTAAAAAATAAAATAAAAAGGTTACTTGGGGACCACCTTCTCCCACAGCCAGGAGCTAAAATACTTTGAACAATCCTCCCCAACCCTAAGCAGCAGAGTGAGACACTGAAAAGATGGAGCAAATACCTCTGGGCTCCTGGCTGCAGACCAAGACCAGAGACAGAGGCTCCCAGGAGTAGGAGACTTGTGCTGAGTACCAGGACATTTGCATGGTGTTGAAGCATCGCCACACTACACAAAGAGGCCGGCAGGAGCATCACAGAGAACAAGACGTAGGCACATCCTGTACTGACACAATGCGTTGAAAAGGGCGCAGGATCACTTATGGGGCACCCTGCCCAAAACTTAGGGCACAAGCCTCCCAAGAGAGCCATCACAGCCGAACCAAGGGGCATCCTGGTGTCCTACAAGTGACTCTGCAGAGGGGCCTGAGCAGAAAGACAAGAGCCTGAGGCATCACCACATACTGCAGGAGTCTGAGGAGAGGCCTCACCAAAGGACGCTGGCCTGAATGCTCAGCCAGGCGAAGGGCACCAGTGGGACCACCTCCAAATCTGAATGGAGTCCATGGCTGAATTCACGGAAAGTTATCAACACTACCACTCTGGCTTGGATAACTGCACTGCATATTATCAGTGGATGCTACATAAAGTAGATCAACCCCTTGTGTAAACCTTTCCAGAATTCTAAATTACTTCAAAATAAAGTTAAAAACATAATTTTTTTTTAATATTCCATGCAGTATTTTAGTTGGTTCAGTTGAGAGGTTTGCAGCCTAAGCCACTGGAAGGCTGACACTGTCACTGACTGAGGTGAGAAAAGCCCACAGGTGGCATGCTGTGGCACAGGAAGTGACTGACTTTCAACTCAAGTGACAGCAAAATTCTACACTGGACACAAAGAATCAGGGCCTGGTGGTGTAGCATGGTAGAAGAACATTTGCCCAACATATGCAAGGCCCTGGGTTCCATCCCAGAAGAAAGGAAAGAAGGGAGGGGAGGAAGGAGGGAGAAGAGGATCAGTAAACTGGAAGGATTCAGCCAGGACACAGAAAAGAAAACGATGACTCAGGCTACACCACTTACACTACCCGCTGGCTCAGTAAAGCCTTGGTTTGAAGAACATAAAACAAGAGTCAATTAATTTAGCAGTATTTCTGAATTCCTAGGCCCTGGAACAGTAGTAATACCTTGAATTCTTCCCATTCTTCCTACTAAGTGGCTCAGGCTTTTCCTCTCATCTGCAGCCACTGTGTGCACCAGGACTGTGACATTGGCAAACAGAAGCTTCTTTCCACCTACTCTTGGTACCTTCTTTTATTTAAAGTAGTGTCCTATTTCCCTCAAACTGAGCTGCTGTAACAGATGCCATAGGGCAAGAAAGAGCTGAGTCTACAATTCACGAACACAAGTACACAGGGTGCTTAGGAAATTAGAAAAAAAGGATGAAGGAAATAAGGAGGGAGAAGCCCAAAGAGGAAGTGTGTGAACCAGCTCTCTGTTAGTATTACAAAGTACCTGAGATAACTAACCTAGAATGAGGAAAGGCTTGGTATGGCCCACGCTTTCAGTACACAGTTGGTCG